CTGCAACATCCCCCCCCCCGCAAGAACTCACCAGCCAGCCATGCGTTAATGAAGAGCACGCCCACTGCGATGTTATACCTCAGCCCATGAAGGGTGACTCCTCCCTGAGAAAAACAGCAGAGCTGAGTCAGTCAGACGCTGTGGAGCTGCATGGTGCTCGGACGGAGCTCACTGACCGCGGGCATGGACAGCAGATCCTCAGGAGTCACAGCCACGTCTCCTCGGAGCTGGTCCAGCTGGTTGCAACCCTTGCTGTGGAGCTTAAAGAGCTGGAAGAGAAGAACCATCAGCGCCCTACTTCGATCACAGGCAGGGTTATTGTGATGCTATAACCTGAACCCTCAGTTTCCATGGAAACCCATCCATCAGAACGTGCCCGTAAGAGACGCTCTATCCGGTAGGGGAACTTACTTTCTGCATAGGTTCGATCAAATCCATGTCGTACACCATGAAGCCGTCAACGCCTGCTTTGATTTCTAACAGCTTCAGTCTAGAAGCCAAAAAAGAGGAAGTTTATTACTGGCTCAGAAAGACCAGAGGACTTTACCCCAAAGAACAGCAGAGTTTTCACTCCTAGGCGTGACTTTAACAAACAAGGGGTGAGACGAATCCATCATCTCATGCGTACCAGCTGGAAATCACCAACCAGGTGTTCATCAGAACCTCAACCCAGACAGTGGCTGCGTCCGAATGTCCGCCCTAACCCCTAAATCCCTCCATCGCTACATAGAGCGGGGACACTATGGTGGACTTTATTGTGAACTTTAACTGACTGTTCAGACTGATGATCACTACTTTTCGATCGCCGTTGGTCACATGACTTTGCCCCCCCACACGTTGCCTGCGCCATCTTTATTTGTCGCCGCTGTCACAAAAAATCCCATGATGCTTTGCGAGGAGAGGTGTCCTCTCAAAGCATTCTGCGATACGTCTGCTCGTCTAGTGACCATGTATGACTACCTTTCAAGGTGCATTGTGGGAAGTTTCGAGCCCACTACTTTTTCATTCACTAGACATTCAGACACTCATCTAATATGGCGTAACCACTGTATAGTGCCCTATGTAGGGATCAGGGCGGACATTGGCACACAGCCGCCATTTCTGTTGGAACCGGATGTCATTTCATTACAAAGAAACACAGCTCAGAACTGTTTTATTTTACCATTAATAAAAGGATCAGTGATGTACTGATATGATAATCATATTAATAGCGGAAATAAAAAATCATCATCCCAAAAACAAACATCAGAATACATCAATGAGCATCTAGAATATAAAAGTGCACTGCTGGT